CGCTAAAAAATAGAATAAAAGGTAAAATAGAATAAAGTTCACCTGATTTGTTTTATTTATAGTGTGCTTTTATAGAGGGTAATTTTATATATATGTTATATGATTGGTTAATGAAAAAACGTGATAGTGACTATAAGGCGATTGTGCCTATACAGAGGTATAAAATAAAAAAGGTTGGTAAAAAAAATCTGTAATTATATTGAGGTTGTAACTATAGAGGAGGTGACTATAGAGAGGGATGACTGTATATATATTTATTTTGGATACTAAATTTATTTAATTAATAGACCATTTGACCAATTCGACCAGACCATTTGACTAGACCAGTTTGACCAATGAATTTTTGGTTGACCAGTAATTTGACCAACTCTAATATAATATATATATATATATATATATATATAGGGATGTTAAAAGTCTAGTCTAGTCCGATCTGACTCCATGAGTTCCATGAGTCGAGTTTTAATCTAGACTTGGTCCCAAGTTAGACTTGGGACCGATTCCCAGTAGTCTCATAGCAAAAATCATGTAAACGGTAGGTGTCTGGAGATTTTATCTATTTGTACTACAAAATAGATCTTATAACTACTATGAGACTACTAGCCAAGTCTAACTCGGGACCGAGTTTAGATTAAAACTTGACTTATGGAGTTAGACCGGACCAGACAGGACTTTTAACATCCCTATATATATATATATATATAGTATATATATTAAATATCCTTTGACCAATTTGACCAATACTAATCCCTTTGACCAACTAGTCAAATTGGTCAAACTGGTCTGGTCAAGCTTGACTATTGACTGGTCCATGCCAATCCTAATTCATTCATATCAGATAAAATCTGATCCTTTATTAAATAATGATAAGAAATCCTATTGCTATTATTATATTGCTGTTGTAGATGGATTTGGAATTTTGTAGAACCGAATCTACTTAAGTAGATTTTAATCTAGAAAACTGTTTAACTTAAAAAGTCAGCTCAAGGATAATATTTTTTTATTAAAATAAATTTTTAATTAAAAAATATTTGCTAGACACAATAAATCTTTATTTCGTTAAATGATTATGGCTATCATTATTTTATTCCCATAATACAGTTTATCAATAGGTGCCGGTCATAATTCTGACAAAAAAATCCTGACAGTAAAATCCCGACAAATCCTGACAATAAAAAACTTATTTAGGGTTAGGTGAGCGCCTATATTAGGATTAGGGTTTAGGTAATTATATATTAATATTGTTCAAGGAAACCTTTTTTGATTGCATATCAATAGACCGTATCAAATTGATCCATTTATCTAAAAATTACCAAACAAAATATATCATTTACAATGCAAAAAAAGAATATCTAAATGACTTGTGAGCTGGGATCGATTAAATATGAATGCTGTCAAGGGAAAAGGCTATTCGGACTTTTAATTGCAGAATTATATTTTGTGTACAGTTAACTGTTTATCATCATGATAGATTTTTCATAGATGGTTAACTGTATACAAAATATAATTGAAAGTCCGAACGGCCTTTTCCTCTTGGTAGCACTCATATGAAGAGTTGTCAAAATAAAATTATTAGTATAAGAAGCTGCGAGAATACTGTATATAGCTAACACAAATATAGTGTCAAATTTAAAATTTTTGAAAATACTATAAAAAACATATACTAATTATGAAAAATATGACAACACTATCAGTAGCATCTTTTTAAATTAATATAAAATAATATTATATTTATTATATAGTCTTTTTTATTTATTTGTATATATAGTATCTTATCATAATTATAGTACCTTGTTATATATAGTACCTTGTTATAGTACTTTGGCATAATATCTTGGTATATTTTACCAATATAACAATGTATAGTATTTTATTAGTAGAAGAAAAGTTATATAAACCCTGGCTTTTTCTCTTCTCTCTAACTTTAAGATTTGTTTTTTATAATCTTGTTATTAGAATTCTTTAGGCATATACAGTATATTTATTGTTACAGATGATTGTAAAATCTGTGATTATGAAATTGCAATTTTTAAAATTTTTTGAAATATATTTTTTTAGGCTTTTTTTTGAATTCAAACTAGTATTTAGGGTTAGGGTTTATAATAAAAGAGTATAAATAGGTTTTGTTAGAGTTGTAAAAGGTTATATTTTTAAATTAAGACCCTAAATTTATAATAATCCAATTTCACTATAATTTACAATATTTATTAATAGCTTTGCATTTTTAATATTGTATTGTAAATAAATACTATATATATCTTTGTTTTTTAAATAAACTATATATACTAAACTGCTTTAATAAAGAAATATTTTACTTTTATACTGCTTTATATTTCACTTTGTTGTTTTAAAGATTTCTGCTACTATATATAGGGTAAAGTTATAAAAATAAGATAAATTTATTAGATAAACTTGGTTTATTTCTATTAACATCACTTTATATACTATATACTGTATATACTATATCGCAAGTATTATATTTTAAAAAAAGCTATAGTTATTTATAATATTATTACTACAGTATATTACTATTTAATAATATTATAATACTGTATACAATACAGTATATACAGTATACAGTATATCTTAACTATAATCTAAAATTCTATAAATTAATTTACATACTTTTTATTTTTATTTTAATAAATATATATATACAGTAGTTGTCCTCCTCTACAATCATGCTGTTTGTTTTATATAAAAAAAGATGTGATTATAAAATTTTAATAGTAATATGATTATATAGAGTTTTGTTTAATAAATATTGCCAATAATTTTTCAAAAAATGGTGCTTATAAAGAGGGCGTGATTATATAGGAGGTGACTGTAGAGAAGGACGACTGTATATAATAATATTTTTAAACTTATTAAAATAAGTACTTTTTTTACTTAAACACTTTATATAAATTATACAAATAAATATATAATAATTACAATCTTACAGTATATTTTTTAAACTATTAATACTGTATATATTAATTATACTATATATTTTTGGTTCTACTACAGAATTCTGATTTCCAAAATCCCAACACTTATAATTCTAAAAATTAAAATTTCAAAAATACCAAAATCCTGTCAGGTTAAAATTCTGATACTATATTAAAATTTTAACTTAATGAAATTTTGGTATTATTAGAATTTAGATTTTGGGTATTGATATTTTAAATGTCAAGATTTTGTAGTAGAACTTATTTTTTTATTTTTAAAAAAATTATAATATACAGTATATATCTTATACAGTATATACAGTATATTTTTTAATAACTTACTAAATTCTTTTTTTATTTGTTAACTTCTTTTTCTATATATATATATACGTATTATATATATAGATACAATATTATTATCTATATTGCTGTATTTTAATTAATATATATATAGAGTCTTTGTCTTGAAAATGATCTTACGGTACATGATACCGTAGGATTATTTTCAAGGCAAAAACCCCATATACCGTATATATCTGACTCTTAATATATTTAACCTAGATCATCGTCTTATAATAAAATCTTGCAAATTATATATAAAAAACTTTAAAAAACTAATAAATTAGAACAAACCCTAAATTATTTTAATTTTACATATACAAAAAACCTACAAGTTTTAAAACTGCTAAAACATTATACGTCTAAATTTTTTATATTAACTCACTGCAATTGCATCCTTTTGCGTTACACTTGATCATATCATGTGATTTTAAATTTGTTTGGTAATAAAAAAAACGATCCTTGAAAACTTAATAACGATAGAATCAAGATGCATTTAATGTATTATATTGACGAAGGTGGTAACCGTGTTTATACGCTCAAGGTAATCTTTACTCTTATGTCGATACAAATTTTATGACATAATAAAAAACATTTATTCTTCTTTTAGAAACGTAGTCCAAGTGGTGGAATTACCAAATCTGCTCATCCAGCAAGGTTCTCACCCGACGATAAGTTTTCGCGTCAGCGAGTTCTTTTAAAAAAGAGGTTTAAGATTTTACTGACAGATCTACCAAGCAAACCTATGTAAGACACATAGTCGCTTACAACTAATGATCTTGGTAATAATGAAAAGGTCGGCCAAAGCTAATTCCGGCTTAGCCGGTCGATTTTTTTTTTCTCAAATCGGCCGACTGATTTTATAACAATAATTCTCGCACAAGCTTTTGATTATTGCAAAAAGTTTTTTTTTTGTTGAGTAATGATTTCGGACTTTTCCAATATTCCAATAAAAAGAATAATTTCATGAGTTTTTTATTTGTAATGCTTTAGATCCGTCAAAGTAGCGACTGGACTCGTTTCAATTCGTATCTCGTGAATTAAGTTCAGGAGATTATTCGAATTATATGATTGAATTATTTTTTTTCGATTTATTCGAGTTAATCAGTCACAAGTTGAAAGCCCAGTCACTACGTTTAATATCCTGACAGTCAAGATCTCACGATATCATTGATATTTGAGTCTCACTTGATGAATATGACGAATATACATTACTTATATTACGAGTTATTAATTGTAGATTTTTTATGGATATTAAAAACAATTTTGATTTTTGACTTAGTTGGCAAGCCAAATTGTATTGTATATATTTTGTTAATCATGAAGTTCTAGACAAGCTACATATTGATCTAACTAATAGGTTGAAGTGTTCATTTGTATTAATTGATATATATGTTGTGCGTGAATTTGAGTTGCGTAAGACCGAAATTTGATTTTGAGATGCGTCAGATCAATAAGAATTTTTATGCATGTACGCATGTGCTCCCCGATTTCGTATTCTATCTTTGCAGAGGTCATCTTTGCTGTGTAGATTTTTTGTTATTTTTTGTTCGTTAAATTTTGCAATGGTTTTGAGGTATATAAAGAAGAATGTTGTGAAGAATCAATCTAAAGAATTAATATATTTTACTAAAATAGCTATCGAAAGTTTTATGCGTAATAAATGAATACTCCATAGTAGTTCTATACAAAATACATGAATGGTTTGTAAAGAAATTTATATCTTTGTTGAACTTCATATAAATTTTTTTAAACATTTAGACAAAGAACGACTCAATTTAGAAACAATTTCAAACTCTACAGATATATAGAATTTGAAAATGTGCCTAGATATTAAATTAACCAAGCAATTTTTGGGAGTACCGCCTAAAATTTTCTTAACCGTTTACAGCTGTTATCATAATTTCTGGGACACCTGATAAAATTTGCTGAATGATTATTCGACCGATTCGGTTAAGCTATTGATTCGGAATGATCAGATATACTTTTACATGTAATATCATACTTGTTCTACAGATAACTTTATCATTATAATTGACGCATCCAACATTATTAAATTTTCTTGCCCAACATGTTTGATACATTTAGTCTGTAGGAAAAATCGAAATGGAATCAGCAAAATTTTTAACTGTAATCGACCGGTTGATCAGCCTGCATTAAAATTGGCCTGGCCCATGATCAACACCGGAACTATAAAAAATTTTTATGCAGTTAAACGGTTCTACTTAAAACCTAGTACGCGTTAGTGATTTGACCCAGGTGTCACCCATGGGTGGGTGGTAGCCCAGGTTAAGTTATGGCAACCCAGGTGGAAACAGGTGGGTCAACCCACGGGTGACCTGTGGGTTGACCCATGGATGATCTGTGAGTTGGCTCATAGGTTGACATAGTTTTGCAATATATTAGCTTCTGAAGATAAATCAGCCGGGAATTGTTATTCATATTTTGCTCAAGACTATTATCATAATTTTAGGAACACCTAGTAAAAATTGATCAATTCGATTAAGTTTGTGATTTCGGCATAATAGATTCAATAAATTGATAAACTGAACAATGTATTATTTTTTGGAACATTAACCAACTGGGTTTGTTTTTTAATTACAGCTATTATCTGGAACCTGAAAAAATTGGTCAACCGATTTTTTAGCCGATTCAGTTAAGTATGTGATTTCGGGAATAATACCCCGATCACTATTCAAGATCACGGGAGTATTAATTAATAATACCCTGACCGTATGTGAATTAGCGGGACTTTCAGCCCCGCTAATACCCAACGGATCAGGATATTATTATTACTAATTTCTTGAGATATAACAATCAATATTGGATGATTTTTATGTCATTCAATTTGTCTCATTGAGACGAATTGATTGGCAGTAAAATTACCAAAATTCGATCACTAGATTTTGAGATATCGCTCGTGTGACATAATACCCATATTGCACTACATTACTCCTTAAAATTTGTGTATATACGATCGTCAATAACTCGTGGTTCTGTGATCAAAATTAGACAAATTTTGGTAACATTCGATTCGTCTTGATGAGGGTACCAAAATTATTTAATTCGGACCAATAGATCATGAGTTATATTAAATTTATTTCAACTGCGCCATAATACCTATACTTACCTTATATATATAAAGAAAACAAATGTTATTTCATTGAATTAGCATTCATAATTTATTCAGAGATCAGTATCCGAAATATATGCATAACTAGTGTGAGGGGGAAAAGCCCGGTTTATTTCGGAATTATTAAAGGCTATAAACACAATGTTACACAGTTGGTGTTTAAGTTGAAATTTGTATACATAATTATATATATTATAAACTCATTTTTAGAAAATGGGGTCCATTTGTATCTCTCACGTTCCTGCTTCCAGTAGCAAGTCTTCAAAGTCAGACGAATCGGGCCGGGTCGGGTCGCCGATTCACCTGACTTTAAAGACTTACTACTGGCAGCAGACACATGAGAGATACAAATAGAGCCTATTTGCTGAAAGTGAGTTTATCATACTAATTATATATTTTAATTTCAGCTTAAGCACCAATTGTATATTATTGTTTTTATAGCCTTCAAAATCAATCGGCGCTTACCGGGCTTTTTTCCCCGCACCCTATGCATGACAAAAATAAATCAGTACATTTTTCTGGACAACACTAGGGTTGTTATAGACCGGTCGAATAACCTTTGTTAAAAAGCCATGGTAATCATGGAATAACACAAATAATGAATTAAAACAATTAAAACATACTGGCGTAATATAAATTTGTAAGTTAACAAAAGTTTATGTGTATACTAGTATAATCAATATAGAATACGATTTCTAACTCCCTCTAAACAATTCAAGCGCCTATTATACAATAAAATTTTTTGTAATTTTTATAAATTTCTGTTTTTATTAGTTTATACGCATAATCTTTAATGATTTTCGATAACATTTATTTGTATATTCGTCTTCTATTAATTTCGTTAGTTTCATCACCTTTCATCAGTTTAGTCACCTTTCGTCATCGTCATTTAAGATTTTAATTGACGAGAGATGAAACCAGGTTACGCGTTTCGTCAGCGCGAAATCTCGAGGTTTCGTCTAACAACTATAGATAACCTCTCAATACTGATACAAAATCTGACCACCATGCATATCTTGTTTGGGAGATTCAACAGTATCTATCTACAAAATGCAATTTCTTGCGACATATGAAGAGCTAACACAGTAATATCATATCTCTCCATAAACGCACATAGTATGATGATAATTTATAGTTATCAATGTTAGGCCATGCAAATAATAAATTAGTTTTCATGACCCGGCTGGGTCGAATTTTGGAACTTTACAGCTGTTTTCATAATTCCTAGATCTACCTGATAAAATTTGTCGAATGCCTTTTCGGTTGATCCGGTTAAGAATCGATTAACTACATGTAAAAAATATCAATTTTTATATAAATATTATTTATTATCAAACAGCAATATAAAAAATGAAGTGCAGCATTTTTTATTGGTCTATAATTTTTAATTTTTTTTTTTTTTTTTTTAAAAAAAAAAATAAATCATTACATAAAATGAAAGCTAAACATACTTTTTTTTTCCGGTTCGGATCAACTCATCGACAATCACTTCAAACATTTCATCGACAAGCTTATTTCAAAGCAATTCTAATCATTGTCGTTAGGGTTAGAGTATGAATTAGAATTAGAGTTAAAGTTAGTGCAATTATAAAAATACTTGTCTGTGAAATTATACATACACAGCAGATCAGATGATCGATTGTGAAGCAGCCAGTGAGCCATTCCATATCTGGGTTAGATATTGATTATGATGTCCAATTCGCGGATAATAATTGGTTATTCCCAGGTTTTTACCACACTTCAATACTGTTTCAAATTAAAGTTACGTATTTTATAAATTTTAGCTTTGCTATAATTGCAAGATTTTCATTTATTCTTTTAACCTCTGCCTTAGTCATTTCGTTAGTACATAAAAAATTCGGTATACCGTTAAAAAAGTATAAAAAAAAAAAAAGATATATAATTCAAAAAGAAATATAAAGATTCCAGATCGACCTGAATTTTAAATCTGGGCAATAAATGCGAAAAATAGTAAAAATTATAAATAAGAACCGGGAAATAATTCAACTAGTTTTATAAACTTTACATTCACGTATTACATCTTCGATTTAACAACTTTTCTAGATATAACGATGTCATAGAGAACTTTCCAAATTTTAACTTGACCAGTGTGTTGCAAATTAATTTATAAATGAAGCTCTTTGTCTTTACCAATAGAGTTAAGTGAAAGGTTTGGATTCTTTAGCACAATACGTTCGAATATTCATCATAAATTTTTAATACCCTTTTTTTTTCTTTATAAAAATCTATTTAATTCATAAATTTTAAAGTTAGATTAAAATTATTTTTCTTATTTAGTATAAATTTGATAATCAATTGCATTAAAAAATCGGCCTAACTTATTTTTCAATCGGTGGATATTGAAAATAACACGTATCGATTTAGAATTGACAAATTTTGTATGTAATCGACGAGAAAAGATACAGGTAGATCCGTGAATAAAACAAGTAAAATAAGATACGTATGAACTTGAACATATTACAAGTATTTTTTAGACTTATGCAAAATGTCGATGTATAAAAAAGCACAAATATAGAAAGATGGTATCCAATTAGATACAGAGAATTGTGCACATCATTTTACTTGTCGTAAACCATACTCTAATATAATATTGTCAT